TTTTTTTTTTTTTCTTTTTTTGGAGAGGTTTTTTGCTATAGGGCATGTGCGCTCGCCAGACAGACAGAGACAGAGAGACAGAAAGCGAGAAATCACCCCCCGGGGGGATGGCCACGCCGCAATCCCTTCTCCTCCATTCTCCTCTTGGGATCTTGGGCACGCATGCACATGCGCCCGACATGAGTTTAAGCCACCAGGTCCAGGACTCGAACCGCAGTCAACTACATGGGAGTCCAGCGACGTAGCTATTACACTAACTGCCGGTCCCACATTCATTTCTTGCTCTTCTCTTCATGGAGGCATATAGCAAAGTGCTTGAGATCATGAGCTGGGAAGCAAGACCAGAACTGTGTTCAAATCCTTCCCTGTCAGGTACTGGCTCTGGAACCTTGGGCGAACACTCTGCTCTCTCCAAGCCTCAGTTTCCTGTCCTATAAAATGGCCATAGTAAGGAGAGCTTCTTTATTGGGTTGCTGGGAGGTCTCATTGAGGTTTCATACCTGTCTTGGGTCTGGACTTCTAGAAGTAGAGCCTGAGGCAAGGGTTCTTGTGAAAGTGATTTACTGGGGAGGGCTTTTAGAGGAGGGGGTGGGGCAGCAGGACAGGGCAAGGGAGGTGGCCAAGCAAGGTCATTGTCACAGTAGGGCCACCTTTGGCTTGACCCCACGGGAGTTCTGGACTGTGAATTGTACCAGAGTTGGTCTCACCTTGACGCTAAGAGATGGCCTTTTAGCTGTGGAGCCATTATCAGCCAACACCTGCCAGCTGGTAAAGGGAGCCTGAGTGGGGTGCAACAGCATCCGCTGCCTTCAGCCACTGAAGCACTGAGAACCCAGGAAGTGCTCCAGAAATGTTAACTGTTATCACCGTTAGCAACCAGCATCCATCTTCTGAGCCCCAGCTCTGCAGTGGGCCCTGTGTCAGAGGCTGAGAGTCTAGAGATGATCAGGCCAACATAGCCGCCCTGTGCATTAGAGACTAGTGTGTTCATGTGTACGTGTATGTGCATACACATGTGTGCATGTGCACCCGCATGGGTGAGAAGGACACCATTTCAGAACAATGAGATGATCGTTTGAAAGGGTCACGTCCTGCATTTGGAGAGAGGGCCAGAGGAAGAGCCAGATCAGCCTGGTCTCCCAGGAAAAGGCTGCTCAGCAGGACAACATTCAGACTGAAGGACAAAGGGACATTTCCCAGGTGCAGGAAGGAAGGGGAGGTGTCCTCAGCCGAAGGTCACTTTGTGCAGAGCCCCTTGGTCCTCTGTGACTGAGGCCACTGTCTTCTGGGCAGCTTTTGGGCTCCACGTCTACCCTATGTGGTGTTAGGAGCCAGCCCTCAGTGGGAAGGTCAGAGCCAGCGGGCTCAGTGTTACACCTGCAGACATGACTGCGCCACACAGAGCGGGAGTGAGAGGCAGAAAAGGCAGGTCCCCTCCTTCCCCCTACTTCTCCACCAAAGAACACATCCCCATGTCAAGAGAGCCCCTGAAAGGAGAAGGTCCAAACCTGCAGGATGGGGACCTGGGGTCTGGTGTGGCAGAACCTGCGGGCAGTGGTGCTGATGGCTGTCTTCTTGTTCCCTTCCAGCCTAGGAATCCATGCCAGGAGAGAGAATACTTAGACCAGACGACGAAGAGGTGCTGCAGCATGTGCCCACCAGGTGAGTGGCAGCTGGCTTCCAGGCTGGCTGCGTCCCCGAGGGCTGGGGCACTGGAGGGAAGCATGTGTGCACCGTGGCGGGAGGGAGGGGCATTCTGATTCTTATGGAACGACTTTCATGTCTTCCTTCTTTTGGCTCTTACACATGCTATTCCCTCTGCCTGGCCCACTTCCCACTCCTTCCCTCTGTTGAACTCCTGCTTATCCTTAGAACTCAGCATGGGTGCTCCCTCCTCCAGGAAGTCTGCCCCACACAGCTCAGCAAGGTCACATGCCTCCTTCGAGCCCCACTGGTGCCTGGAGTCCCTCATGGCATCTCTTTTTACACTGTGCAGCTCTGGCCTGGTTCCTCTCTGGTTAGCCCCATTGTGTGCTCCTCCAGGGCAGGGACTATGGCTTGTTCTCCACTGAATTCTCAGTACGTGGCACAATGCCTGGCACATAGCAGGGTCTTAGTGCATATTTGACTGAACCAACAAGTGCATACACATTTCACAGCTGGGGAACCCGAGGCTTGACCCATCTCCCGACGACATTCATCCATTCATTTGTTTATATCTTCCCTCATATAATACGTATAACGCTCTGCTGTGTGTTCTGAGTGCTGGGAGAACAACAGAGAGCAGGCAGACAGAATCCCTGCCCTCGTGGAGTCTGCATTTTACAGACAGCAGCCACACTCACAGACATCTGGTCCCATCTATCACTAAGTGCTGTGAGAAAAGCCAGTCAAGGAGAGGCAGAAGGACACACAGAGTGGGCCATGCTGCTTTGTGTAGACTAGTCTGGGAAGGTTTCTGTGGAGGTGACATTCAGGCAGAGTCCTGCAAGAGGTGAGGAAATAAGTCATACAAATATACAGGGAACAGCATGCCAGGTGGAAGCAACACCAAGTGCAGAGGCCCTGAGTTAGGAGCCTGTTGATGGCTTGAGAAGTAGCAGGGTGGGGACCAGCAGATGGTCTAATGGTTACATTGCTGGACTCCCACATGGCTGACTGTAGCTCGAGTCCCAGACCTGGTGGCTTCAAACTCACATTGGGCATGTGTGTATGAGTGTCCAAAATCCCTAGAGGAGAATGGAGGAGAAGGGATTGCAGTGTGGCCATATGCCTGGAAGGGAGGTGATTTCTCACTTTTTGTCTCTTTGTCTTTCTGGCAAGCACACGTACTCTATAGCAAAAATCTCTCTTAAACTGGCTGTAAATTGGTATAATGGCTGTGTCACTGGACTCCCATGTAGTCAACCGTGGTTCAAATCCCAGACCCGGTGGCTTAAACTCATGCCAGGCGTGTGTGTGTGCATGCCCAAGATCCCGAGAGGAGAATGGAGGAGAAGGGATTGCAGTGTGGCCATCCCCCTGGAGGGTGATTTCTCGCTTTCTATCTCTCTATCTCTCAGGCAAAATCCTCTCCAAAAAAAAAAAAGAAGAAAGAAGTAGCAGTGTCAGGTTGTGTAACCCAGAATGGGTAAAGGGGAATATGCTAGGAGATAGAAATACAGAGTTTAGATTTTTTTCTGAAAGAGTCTGAAAGCCGTTGAAGGCTTTGAGCTGTTAGCCTGAGATGTAGGTGAGCACACATGTAGCTGTCATCTCTCCTAGTCATTTTAAGAGAGCCCAGGAAAAGTTGCTTTTCTTTCTTTTACCAATCAGCAGGGTTTTTTTAAAAGAATTATTTCATTTTATTTTATTTATTATTATTGTTTAATATGACCAGAGAAACAGAGATAGAGAGAGACGGGAAGGGAAAACCCGCCACCAGGTCCAGGACTCGAACCATGTTCAGTCATGTGGGAGTCCAGTATTTTAATCACCATGCCACCTGCTGGCCTCCCAGCAGGGTCTTTTAAAGCAGTTACTGAATTAGCATAGCAGTGACCATGGCTGGATGGGACTGGTTACAGGGCTCAGAGGAGTAAACGCCTTAGAGATTTGTCTTGAGGTGTTCCCATCCCCCATGCCTTCTCTCAGGCTTTCAGAGCCCCATGCCCTATCCTTGATAGGATACCAGGACTAGTCTTATTGTCTCTCTTCCCTGTAGCTTATACCCTCAGAGGTGAACTTTAGCCAACTATCAAGAAGAAAGGAGTTGGCAAACCTGTTCTTAGTAAAATTTGATTGACTGATCAAAGGTCTCCAATGGTAGAATTTCAGGCTTAAATTTTTCTTTTCTTTATTCATGATAGAGTGCATGTACACATGAGAGAGAGAGAGAGAGAGAGAGAGAGAGAGTGAAAACCCTCCACAGGGTCTGGTAGCATCACAATCTTCTTCCTCCAGGCCTCCAGCCTGTTAGATCTTGGGCACTCATGCATGTGCCTGGCGTGTTTTCAGGCTGACTGGGCTGGGAATTCAAATCATGGCTGCCATTTGGATTTGACATCTTCTTTTTGTTTTCAATTAAAGAATTATTTATTGGGACCAGCAGATGGCATAATGGTTATGTCACTGGACTCCCATGTAGTCGACTGCAGTTTAAGTCCCAGACCCAGTGGCTTAAATTCATACTGGGTGCACATGCATGCACAAGTTCATAAGAGGAGCATGGAGGAGAAGGGATTGCGACGTGGCCATCCCCTGGGGCGTGATTTCTTGCTTTCTGTCTCTCTGTCTCACTCTGTCTTTCTGGCAAGCGCACTGCCCCTAAATGAAAAACCTCTCAAAAAAAAAAAAAAAAAGAGGAATTATTTGATTTAATTATTATTAATTTTAGTTTGCCTTAGGGCACTTGTGCTCACCAGAGAGAGACACAGAGAGAGAGAGAGAGAAGAAGAGAAACTGAGAAAGCAAGCTGACAGGTCTGGGACTTGAATTGCAGTCAGCATGTGAAGTCCAGCAACTCAACCACCACGCCATCTGCTGGCCCCTGGATTTGCCTTGTTTTGAGCAGCACATGACAGCTGCACCGTGGAGCCAGCCCAATTTCAGGGTATTTACAGAGTAAAGGGGAAGCACGCTTTAGAACTGTGGGACTCCAGGGAACGATGGATGAGCCCAGGCTCCTGGCAGCGGCCACACCCTGCAGAGACCGCTGGCTTTTGCTTTTCCAGGTCATTCTGTCAGGAAATTGTGCACCAAGACCTCAGACACCATATGCGTCCCCTGTGAGGACAGCACATACACCCAGTTCTGGAACTGGATCCCCGGGTGCTTCAGCTGTGACCCGCCATGCAGCCCTGGTGAGTGGGCCTAGAGAGGGTGGTCCCAGCATCCTCCCCCGGCCTCCATACACTTCATCCCCTTTGGCTATAAGCTGGTTGGATTACCCAGGCCAGTTGTTTTCATGCCCCAGGTATGAAGTGGTGTGGGCACAGCTCTTTACAGTTTATCGATGGCATTTCCTCCTCTTTCACCAAATCCTCTTCATTGCCTTCTGGAGACCAGAGCTCACTATGGGTGCTGAGTGGGAGGTGGGAGGGTGCTGGGTGCTAGGTGGGAGGGAAGAGTGGGCATGGTGGAGGCAAGAATGACCCTGGGCTGCTGTCTTGCTCCTTAGGCCAGGTAGAGATTCAGGCCTGCACTCTGGAGCAGAACCGGATCTGCACCTGCAAGCCGGGCTGGTACTGTGTGCTGAAGAGGCAGGTCGGGTGCCGGCAGTGCGTGCCACTGAGCAAGTGCCTCCCCGGCCACGGTGTGACCACACAAGGTATGGGGCTGGGTTCTAGGCCGGGTACTAGGGCCGGGTACTGGGGATCCCCTTGGGCCTCTCCTTTACAGACATTGTGGCAGTGTGACAGGCATCAATGCAGTGACATCAGCCTAGGGACATTATCAAGGTGACCAGGTGCTCGCTGCCCATCCATCTGTCCCTTTGACCTTTCTCTAGCACTCTGATTAGACAGCTTCTGTGTCCTGGGCCCTGGGGATGCAGATAGATCAGAGTAAGCCCTAAGTTGCTGGAAATCGGGGTGCTACAGGAACCTACACAACCCTGAAAGCTAGCTGTGTGTACTTGTGTGTGTAGGCTTAGAGCCTGAAGCGGAGGTCACCTCTGCTGACTTTGCTGTGTGTGTCTGTGTGGGGGGTTAAGGGGTGGAGGTGAAGCCAGAGGTTCTCAGGCTCCTCAAGCCTCCCCAGAGCTCCAGTGCCAAGGCCTACCTGTTCAGCCGTGTCTGAGTGGCTGACAGGTTCTCATTTTTCCTCAAAGCAACGGCAACATCAGACGTGAAGTGCAGTGCCTGTCCCCCAGGGACTTTCTCCGACACGACTTCATCCACAGATACTTGCAGGCCCCACCGGATGTGAGTGGCTGAGTCTTCTGATTTTGGGAGGATGTCTCGGGGATGTCTCGGGAGTGATTGTGGGACACGGAGCAGCTCTGACCCCTACTCACTCCCTTGGGTTGAGGTATTGCTGAGTCCTGTTCACCAGGAATAGTGCCCCCACTGGCTTGTCTGGGCGGGGACTGGGGGGCCCAGACAGCCAGGGCACAGGAGCTTGCCCTGGATGTCAAGACTGGCTGGGGTGTTTAGGGGAGATAGGGAAGGGATGGGAGAGATGGGCCCGAGATAGAACGTGGCATCCCTCATGCTGGCTGCTGGGACCTTGCCACTGGTTTGGCTCCCATAAATGATCCTAGCCACCCTAGCCCCTCTGACCACTGCTACCTCCTGACCAAGCCTCCTCCTCCCCAGCTGTAGCTTGGTGGCCACCCCTGGCAATGCAAGCACAGATGCAGTCTGTGCATCTGTGTTCCCCACCCAGAAGAAGGTCCCAGGTCCAGTCACCACATCCCAGCCTGTGTCCACGAGATTCCAACACAAAGAACCAACCCCAGGGCCCAGCACAACTCCCAGCACCTCACTGAGCCCAAATCCCAAAGAGCTCAGGACAGGCAGCATCTCTCTTCCAATCGGTAAGTCATGAGCCAGCTCATTTCACCCTCATTCACTCCTGCATTCCCACAGTCCTGCTGGGAGCCCGTTGTGGACTGGCCCCGTGCTCTGTCCAGGGATACAGGTAGCAGCGAGGCAGGTCTCTACTGAAGACCTGGTGCTGTCTTAGTGCTGTCGCTAGAATGCCCTGGGTGGGGAGAGATGGGGTCCGCGTTTCCCCTGGAAATAGAGATGGTCTCCTGGTTGCTTGTTGTGGATGAGAAGGGGGGATGTGGAGGGCGGGG